GACCCTGTGCACACTACTCCTCTGTATGCATCAACATTTTCTCTGCAGCAGACAATAAGACAAAATAGAGACAAGGTAGAAGCTGACAATGGTATGACTACACCTGCTATCCATAACTCCTAATTCCAAATCTGTGTGTTCATCAGAATCTCACCATCCTCATTCATTGTCTTTGAGTCAAGCAACTGTGGTGAACTTGAACTTATGAAATCAATGTGTAGCAAGGAAACAGCCTTGCCCTGCTTTATAAAGTAGGACTAAGATTTTATGGAAGAAAGAATTCCATAACTACAAATAAAATTAAAAATTTTTAAGTTTTAAAGTTACTAAAATAAGTAGGAAAAGAGAGCAGAAAATAAAAATTAATGTCACCTTCCTCTTCATGGTCTCCTGTCTTTGGAGGGCTAACGGGAGGCTGGTAAACTGTGATACCAGGGTGCAGGTCAGGACTCACGAAGCTTAATGTCACACTATGCAGATGTTCAGGGCCTTGGGAGCATTTTCCTTCCTTCTCTGAACTCTCAATTTAGGGACCAATAAAATCCACTGCCACAGAGCCCACTGTGACTCACAGCAACCCTTTAGGACAGAATAAAACTGCCCCTCAGAGTTTCCAAGTTCTGAGACTTTAAATGTTTTCAGGAGCAAACAACCTCACCTTTCTCCCTCCGGGCAGTTGGGTTCAAACTGCTGACCTTGGGCTTAGCAAATCCAAGTGTAACCCACTATGGCACCAGGACTCCTGTAGGGCCTGGGAATGGCAAACAACTGCTTCCGCGCTACGGCACAGGGACCCGTAGTGAACAACCAAGGCCATACTCCCAATCATGGGCAAGATACAAGATACAGTGGACAAGATACACGAGTCTCTGGAAAATGTCTCTGGCTGGGCAGTTACTTCCAAACAGGAACTTCCAGAAGGAGTGTACCATTTTGATGGCTGACTGGTTGTCCCTCTTATATCCTCTTTTGACTGAATGAATAAAACTTAATCTCAGTCAGTTCAGTTCTTGATCTAGTCAGGTTCTCTCCCTAACGACCAAAGTATTGAGAGAACTATGTAGCACTCGTGTCACCAGTTGGGACTTAGAAACAGGTCCTTGGTTGTCATTAGCGGTCCCTCTGCGGACCTGCATTCTCAGCTGGTGTCCAAATGCAGAGCTAAGACCGGTCAGCTCCCATCAAGTCCACTCTGACTCCCAGTGGCCAGCGTCAGGGCTCCCGACGCTGGGAATCTGTGTGGGTGCAGACGCTGTTGTGAGGTGCCATTGAGTCGGTTCCAACCCATAGGGACCTTTGGATCAACAGGACAAAACACCGGGTGGCCCTGTGTCATCGTCAAAATTGTTCCTAGGCATGGAAGTGCATGGTGTGTGACTATGCCATCAAGGAAACGACAAACAAAAGAAAACAAGCTTGACCTATGGTTGCCGTGGGGGAAGGAGGAAGAGGTTCTGCTTAGGGGACATTGCGGTCATTTTAATGGTGGTGGAACAATTTGGAGTAGGATATCCATAATGGTTGTACAACCCAAAGAGTATAATCAATGGTACTGAATTATATATGTAGGGGTTGTTGAAATTCCACCACCAACATGAATAAACTTGGACGTTCATTTTCCCCCTAGAGTCTCCAGGGGAGAACCTGAGAACTCAGTCCAGAAGACACCGTGTTTGAATTCAGTGATCTGATATTCTGGACAAAGAACCCACGAGAGGAGTACCATACACTCATAATAAATGAGTGTTGGCTCAAACTGCGAAACTATTGACTGCAATAGAAAAACAATACAGTAACTTTGTAGGAGATGTTCGACCAATGGGACAGAGAGTTGGGGATCAACAGTCCAGTCTTAAAGAAGTGCAAGTAGAGAAGGAGAGCAGCTAACGCTTCGACAATATGGGTTAATGGAATTCGTTAGGGTAGTAGAATTGATTCTGTTAACAACCAGGTAAGCCCTGAAGTTGGATAAGCCAACTGAAATTCAGGCTATGCAATATGAGCCAGAAAGCTTTTATGGATTGAATCATGTCTTCCAAAAATATGTGTGATAGATCCTAACCCCTATGCCTGTGGTTACAATCCCATTTGGGAATGGGTTGTCTGTGTTATGCTAATAACACAGCAGTGTTCTCAACTGGCATCCACTCAATTCTGACTCAGTGACCCTCTAGGCAGGCTGGGACTGCCTCTGGATTTCTAAGGCTGTAACTCTTTACAGGAGTAGAAAACCTTGTCTTTCTCCCGAGGAGCAGCTTGTGGTTTAGAATCTGTTGACCTTGTGGTTAGCAACCATAGCCACTAAGCCAGCTGAGTCAATCTCTTTTATGATATTTTATAAAAAGGCTAAATAATTGAGCCGAGAGAGAGAGAGAGAGGAGAGAGAGAGAGAGAGAGAGAGAGAGAGAGAGAGAGAGAAAGGATAAGACACATGTAAAGACACATAACACTCTCCAAGGAGCCAGGAAGCCGAAGCAAGGACTTTCTCTAGAGGGGGCCAAGAGAAAAAAGCCTTCTTCTAGAGCCAGCACGCTGGGTTGGGACGTCTTACTTCCCACCCAGGAGAAAGTAAATTTGTTTTTCAAAGTCATTAACTTGTGTTATGTCTGTTACGGCGGCACTAGAAATCTAAAACAGTCTCTACGAATGCTTTAAAAGAAATCCTCGTCTTAGGCACCCAGAGGGCAGATTGTGCTAAATAGAAGAATTAAAAAAAATAATTTAATTGTCAAAATTAAATTGTCAAAGGAGACTGAATCTGTAGCCTCGACAACTTTCCAAAGATGAAGGTTCTGGTAGGTGAAAAGTGGAAGCTTGAGTCCTGGCAGTAAGGGTGTTTGAATGCAGGCACCTAAGATCGATGGACCTTAGGTTCTCACTTGAACCCTCCGGGCAGAAGCAGCTCCTCCCTTTGCCTGGAGATCAGACAAAGTTCTCAGCTAAGGCAGGTGTTATGCTCACCGCAGCCTCCTCTCGTATCCCTGCTCATTCAAGCTCCTGAGAGGAAAAAGCAAATCACTTAGTCACCAACAGAATTTTACGATCCAGTTAGTATGTACCAGAAGCAACGTGGGAACTCTGGATGGCAGTGGATCTTGAGAGTGTTGGGCGGGAAGGATCCAAGACCAGAAGGGGAGAGTTTCTTGGTATGGAGCCACGTCTCTGATTTAGGGTGAAAGGATTGCCAAGGCTAATCATTGCTGTCATGGGTTCATGAAGCCGGGACCCAACAACGATCCAGAGTAAATGAGTGAAGGGGCTGGAAGTGAATTTGCCGAGTATGGAGGAAGAGATCAGAAGGTCCAGGGAGTGTGGAAATGCTGGCATGAACTACCACCCAACTGTGCTACCTGGGAAGGCTCAGAAACCACCCTCTTCACTAAGTAATGTATCAGTGTGTGTGTGTGTGGGGGGATCTACATCTTTGAGAAGCTCTGTGGGGAGCATTAAGCAGCCATTCCAATCCCAGGTGACTGCCAATACCTATCCTTTGCCTGCCTTTAAGAATTTCTCCTTCCTTCTTGCCCTCACAGGAAATGAGGAGGCTTTCTACTCCTGGAAAGAGTGGCTGTCTCGGAAACACACAGGGGCCATCCCACCCTGACCCAGAGGGTCGCTCTGAGTCAGTGGACTCCGTGACAGAGTTGGTTTGGTTTTCTTGTTCTCATGGGCACTCTTCTCGTCCTTTCTCCATCAGGGAACCGAATGTATCTCCTTAGTGGGCTTAGACTTTTACAAAGGTGAAAGAGCTGATGAATTCCAGTTGTTTAAATTCTTTGCATCATTCCCCGTCCCGCTCCCCGCCCCGGCCCCATAGACCCTATTGAACTACCACCAACAAAAACCTATGAGAGGCAAAGGCTTGGGTCTGATTTAACATGGGCTGTGGAAGGAAGAGTGGGGGAAAGAACATATATGTTCACAGACTAATCATATACTGTCATTGCCTAATAGTGGTTAAAGAACCAAAGTTTAGCAATAGCTAATTTTACAAATATAAATTAAATAGGATTTAAAATGGTTGCTTCTTGGCCTTTTGGCTAAGATCAAGTGTAGGATTTAAAATGATCCTTACAATAGAGTCACTTTTCATCATAATTCAGTATGATCCTTGAGCAGAAGAGGAAGTCACGAGCTTTGGGGCAGGATTCCGGGAGCTGCCCGGAATCCGCAGCTGATCTGACCTCTGCCGCACGGCTGAGAGGAGCGGTCATGGCCGGCCTAGCATTAGTTGTGGGATTGAGCACTGTTTTTCCATTTGCTTCCCGACTCAAGCCTTTTAGGGTTTCAGCATGATGTGGGCATACCCATGGGAGTGTGTGCTGAATGTAACTCTGATGCATCCTGTCCATTGCACGGGAAAAAGTTTGGGCGTCACTAGCACCTACTCACGATAAACTCTACTATGACTGCAGTGGGAGTGGGGGTGGGGGTGGGGGTGGCATGTTTGCTTCTGAGCCTCCCTACAGTGACAAGAAAAAGAATGTGGTCAATGGCATCTTCATTGTTTTCATCAAATCAAATCAAAGTAGCCACTACCTTATCCTATTTCTAGAGCTAAGCCATACCATGATGGTGAGGCACATTACTGTATGTTAGAGGGCTAAGACTTTCCAGTTGACCCCCACATTGGATAAAATAGAGCTGTTTGGAATGAGACCAATGAAGAGTAGAGTAAGGAGAAGTTCTATACAGAATAAAATGGTGTATCTCACAATCCCTGTATAACTGTACTTTTGTGTTTATTTATTTGTCGCTGTTGCTCATGATGAACATTCAAATCTGCTATCAGAGGATTTAATATTTGGGTAGAAAACTGGCATTAAGAAATAAGACAGAAAAGTATATGTGAAGCAAGCCTACTAATGAGCAATGTCAAAAATAAAGAGGAGCTTTTCTCTGTCACATTATCCACTTTTCCGGGTTACCATGTTCTCATCCAACACCAAGGGTTTGAAGGTCATGTGCTCCAGCGATTTGGGAATATTGGTGACAATGACTCAGTCAAACTCTTTTTGAGCCACTAAGTTCTTTACAGCAGCCTTCACGTCCTTGTTCCGCAGGCTGTAGATGATGGGGTTGAGCATGGGGGTCACCACCCCGTAGAAGAGGGAGATGAGTTTGTCTGAAAGATCCTGTTTGTCAGCCCCCAGTGGATCCTTAGACTTGGGTTTTCCATACATGAAGAGGATGGTCCCATAGAAGACAACCACCACCGTGAGGTGGGCCGAGCAGGTGGAGAAGGCCTTTCTCCTTCCCTCTGCTGAGGGGATCCTCAGGATGGTGGTGAGGATGAACACATAGGAGACAAAAATGAACAGCACTGGGATTGCAAGGAAGATCATGTTGGCCACCACCATGCTGATCACATTCATGGAGATGTCAGCACAAGCCAACTTCAGGACAGCCAGGATCTCACAGGTGAAGTGGTTGATGACATTGTCCCCACAGAAAGGCAGCCCTATTGCCTGAGACGTCTGTACGATGGAGTTCATGATACCAGCTGCCCAGGAGCCGGCAGCCATGGGCACATAGGCAGCCTTGCTCATAACCACAGGGTACCTAAGGGGGTTGCAGATGGCCACGTAGCGATCAAACGCCATCATGCTCAGAAGCA